TATATATATATATATATATATATATATATAATAACACACACACACACACACACACACACACACACACACACAAGGATATATATATATATATATATATAAAGAATATATAAGGGAAAACGAAAATTATTATATATAATCATATATACTTTACATATAATATTTATTATAATTAATGAACTATTATATAATTTTATAATAATTAAGATTATAATAATTAAAAGTTATAATAAGTAATAAATAATAATATGAATTTGTGAGAAATTTTCTTAATACAATTATATGATATAAGATCCCAAAATTCTCTTAGAAATTCAAAGTTTACTATATATTTCGTATAATGAATTACAAAGTTAGTCGACAAGTTAGCATTTCGGAAGTTATATATTTTTGCTTCGTCATATCAAATAAAAAAAGGAGAGATGAAATTATATATAAAATTGATTATTTAATTTATCATGCAATAAATTTGAATTTGTAATTAATTATTCAAAACATAGTAAACTTTGAATTTCAAAGAGAATTTTGAAATATATACAATGTTATACAATTATACTAAAGAAATAGTTTTATATCTTTAGACATCTAGTTTTATACATCTTTATTTATTACATAATTACAATTTTTATACGTAAAATTATATAACAAGTAATTATAATAAATTTTATAAATATGTAACGATTTTCGTTTTCTTTTATACATTGTATACGCTTATTCTTTTTAATTCGTATGCTATATGTCAACAACAATGTCAACAATGAGCGATAAGAAACATCGAAGACACTCGACTATCATACAGCGTGTGAAGCGCGAAAGAGTACGAAAATATTTCTATTTTCTTTTCATACTACGTCATACTACGAGCGCGAAAGGACAATAGTATTTCTATCCTTTTCTATCGTCCCCAGGTGGCCGAAACGCCAAGCGCATATGTACGTCGCCTTTGTGTGCGTGCCACGCATCTCTTCTCACAATTGATCCTTTTAAAGAAAGCGAGATTCCGGCCTTCAGGCCACCGATTTTGCTGAATTTTTGTTACAATGTATTTTGTTACAATGTAGTATTAATATAGATGTAATAGCATATAGCAATATATTATTCGGAAATTATATATTTTTAAACTATTGATGAGACATTACGGTTCGAATTTTAGTATGCTCCATTAGTATCACTGCAATAAAGCATATGGCTAGACTCCACATAGCGTAGTGCTTTAGATGGTGCTGGAAATGCGGAGATTGCGTGTTCGCGTCCCATTTTATTTTATAATCTTTCTTTTCTTTTTTTTTTACATTAATTTTTTTTCTTGCAAAAAGAAATATTTAGTACATTTAATAATACAGAAACTTTTTTTTATATATTTCAACTTTTTTGTTTTTAATAAAAAAATAAAATGGACAGTACTAATATGACAAGCTTATACTTACATGTATGTATTTATATAGAAATGTATATACAATTTCTATATAAATACATATTATTGATTTATTTATGTACAAAACAAAACTTCCTTTATATCGTATAAATAATTCGCCATATATATATAAATATATACATATATGCATACGAATTATTAAAATATCATTTGAAAGCTCATAGAAGAAGTAAATGGAAAAATACGAAAGTATGCGAAATTTAGGAGATTAGGTGCATATGTGTGTAGAAATATATGTATGAATGTATGTATATATACATAAATGTATATTTAAATCTATGTATATTTAAATGTGCATATGTGTTCTCATCGGAGTTTGCTCCAACATCCTCTTAACGTCTTTTGAACCTAATTCTTTAAAGATTATACAAATTTTAATAAAAAAAGTTACAAGAAAATTTATATGTAGTACATATAAAAATATAATAATAATATTATTATTATAATAAATACATATTTTATATGTACATATAAAAATGTATATATACAATGAGGAACATAAATGAGGTCTTTTTTCGGTGTAGCTAGGAGTAGATGAGCGCGCCATCCGTGGATTGTCGTTATACCTACTTTCCGAGGATCAAAGACTGAATACTGAATGCATCTCAGTTTCTGCATATACATTGCTCGTACGTAAAAGACTTTAATACTTTAAGACTTTAATTATTTATGCAATTATTATTTATATACGATATAAAAATTTAATTAAAATATAATTATATACTATAATTATTATACTATACATCTATATTATTATTCTCATATTATTATTCCAGTACACACAAACTATAAAAGTAATATTTCAAACATTTACCAAATAATTGACATAAAAAAATTTTAGTGGTTATATTTAGTGGTTAATGTTTGTGTTTACTGGGGTTCCGATATTCATTGCCAGTACTGAAAATATATAGTTTAAATCACGTATATTATAGAATAATAATAGGAGAATAATAATAGGAGAATAATAATATATTATAGGAATATATATTATAGGAATAATAATAGGAGAATAATAATACAAATGTATAGTATAACAATTATAATTAAAATATAATTATTATATTTTAATTAAAATATAATTTTTATATTGTATGTAAATGATAACTACATGAATAATTCTATTAAAATCTTATCATCGTGCGGGCAATGTATATGCAGAAACCGAAATTTGGTCTTTGACGCTCAGAAAATAGATGCAACGACAATTCACGGATGGCGCGCTCATCTATCTCCTAGCTACACCGAAAAAGGACCTCATTTATGCTTCTCATTGTACATGTATGTAATTCTTTGTTCTCTTTGACAAAAGTCAAATAAAAGATGAACTTAAAGATTTAACTTAGATAAACTTAAAAGATGAACTTTTCGCGTTGGCCCTTCAGATTCATAAAGACTCTAATTTTTGCCAGATTTCTTTAGACGTGATACATCCGTTTATTTGCTTCAATTCCTCAGCGCTTATCGCGAGTATGATGTCAGCCATGGCCTTTTCATCGACTATTTCCCAGGTTGTAATTTCGGCTGCATTTGTACCTATCGCGATTGGTTTTGTCTTCGTTCCACTGACATAACCCCACGCGTCATTCTTTATAAGTAATGCTTTCATGTGAATCTTCCACGTGTCATAGTTTTCCTTTTGGAGAGATGGAATTTTGACCGACATTTGGCTCATTTTTCATAGAGAAATTTTCAAGCTCGTGCTTAGTCACGTTTATAAATTTATGAACACGAGTTTTCCTCGAAGAACAACAAGCGATTTAATCCGTTTTTTTATTTTTAAGTTATATTCACTTTTACACTTGTTTTCGTGTAGATACGTTATTACGCATACACTTTTCTTTCAACACAGTGGAAGTGTCCTAGGCCCATAATCTGTGAGAATAGAGACAGGAATAACACAATATTTTCAAATTACATCTTTTTATATCAGCTTTAATTTTACATGACTTTGCGTGCACAACGAAAGACTTGACTAGAGCAACTGCGAAAAGCAAAAGGAAACTGAACATTTTTAGTACAGTCAAACGATAGATGGCGCAAGGATGCCGTTTTTATATCATTTTCAACATAGATTAAGTTAATAATTATTAATAAATATAATAAAATATTTACTGGAACTTCAAATAAACATAGTTCATTCAGATCTTCTGCAATTAATTGCCAAAACTTTTTATTTTTTTGGTATTATCAACTTCAATATCACGAGCTTCATAAGCAGATAAAAGTGCAAAAATAGCTTGTTTGTTTCATATAAGCTTGTCTTTCCATTGAAATTCTTCATGAGAAATTAAATCAATTTCTCTTTGTTTATTTATATTTCTTTCTTGTAAAATATTTACATCTGATATCGGTATATATTCAGAATCAACAAAATTATTAGTCAACATATTTCCAGTTTTATTCATTGTATAATCTAATATGCAAAAGTGAAACTTTAGATTACCAATTTATAACTTATTAAAATAAGATTGATCATCTTACTTACGCGTAATTATTACACTTATAAAAAAAATTCGTATAAATCCATATATATAAAAGAAATAGCGTTGACATGAATATTTCTTAATTTTGAATTATTAACTTCATTTCTTACCATCAATATAACAGACTATATACGTATATGATTAAATAAATATGGTAAGTTTGTTTTTTGATATTGGTGAAACTGTATGTCACACACCGTAACTCTTCGCAAAAGCAGAGTTAGCAAAAGTCGACTTGAGTTACTAAATGGAAAGCACCCAATGACATGTTAGCAGATGACATTCGTGATTGACCATTAGTCACTCACAGGGGCCGGCACCTAAAATTTTTCCACTGTTCAAGCGCTGTGAGTAGCTAATGGTCAATCGGGACATGATTAAACGGGTGTCACCCCATGTTAGCAATCTAGTTTAGTAAG